TGAGCCACCGTGCTGGGCTAGCTGTCTGTTTTTGTAAATAAGTTTTATTGGAACATAATTATACCCATTTGCTTACATGCTGTCTATGGCTGCTTCTGTGCTACAACAGCAGAGTTGGATAGCTGCATCGGAAATTGTATGGCCTGCAAAGCTTAAAATATTTACTGACCTGCTGTGGTCTGAATGTTTGTGTCCCACAAAAATTCATTTGTTGACACTCAACTCTCAATGCAATACTATTAAGATATGGAGGCTTTAGGAGGTTATTATGTCCTGAAGGCTTTGCTCTTGTGAATGGGATTAGTGCCTTATAAATGGGATCAGTGCCTTATAAATAAAAAGAGGCTTGGGGGGTGGGCATGGTGGCGTGTCTGTAATCTCAGCACCTTGGGAGGCTGAGATGAGCAGATCACGAGGTCAGGAATTCCGGACTAGCCTGACCAACATGGTGAAACCCCGTCTCTACTAAAAATACAAAAATTAGCCGGGCGTGGTGGCGCACGCCTATAATCCCAGCTACTCAGGAGGTGTAGGCAGGAGAATTGCTTGAACCCAGGAAGCAGAGGTTGCAGTGAGCCGAGATCGTGCCACAGCACTCCAGCCTGGGCGACAGAGCGAGACTCTGTCTCAAAAAAAAAAAAAAAAAAGGCTTGGGGTTGGGCGCGGTGGCTCACGCCTGTAATTGCAGCACTTTGGGAGGCTGAGGCGGGCAGACTGCGTGAGCCCAGGTTCCAGACCAGCCTGGGCAACGTGGTGAAACCCTGTACTTATTTTTAAAAAATACAAAAACTAGCTGGGTGGGGTGACATGTGCTTGTAGTCCCAGCTACCTGGGAGAGTGAGGTGAGAGGATCACCTGAGCTCAAGAGGGCAAGGCTGCAGGGAGCCATGATTGCACCACTGGCCACAACTACAGTACTGCACTCCAGCCTTTGTGACAGAGTGAGACCCTGTCTCAAAAAAATAAGTAAAAAAGAAGCCTGTTTGCCACTTTTGCCATGTGAGGATGCAGCAAGAAGGCATTATCTTGGAAGCAAAGAGTAAGCCGTTACCAGACACTGCATCTATTGAGGCCTTGATGTTGAACTTCCCAGCCTCCAGAACTGTGAGAATTAAATTTCTGTTATTTAGAAATTGTCCAGTCTAAGGTATTTTATTATAGCATCCCAGATAGACTAAAACAGCTGCTAAGGATGTAAAACACTACAGCCACTTGGGAAAATAGTCTGGCAGTTCCTAAAAAAGTTAAATATAGAGTTACCATTTGACCCAGAAATTCCACTCCTAGGTATATACCCAACAGAAATAAAAATATATGTCCATGTAAAAACTTGTACATAAATGTTCCACAGCAATATTACTTATAATAGCCCCAAAGTAGGAACAACCCAAATGTCTATCTACTAATGAATACATAAGTAAAATGTACATCCATTTATATAATAGATTGTTATTTGGCCATAAAATGGAATGAAATATTAATAAAGTCCTAATAGATGCTACGACATGGATGAAACTTGAGAGCATTATACTTAGTGAATGCAGCAAGTCACAAAAGACCATACATTATATGATTCTATATTTATGTCCTGAACAGGCAAAACCATAGGAACAGAAAGTAAATTAGTGATTGCCTGGGGATGGGGAGGGTGGGAAGGGTTTGGGAAGTGCCTGCCAATAAGTACAGAGCTTCTTTCTGGGGTGAGATGAAAATGTTTGAAAATTAGGCAGTAGTGTTTGTGCAATTCTGTGGATGTATTAAAAACCACTGAATTGCATACTTTAAAAGGGTGAATTTTGTGGTATGTTAACTACATCTCAATAAAGCTGTTATTAAAAAAAGTAGGAGATTGCATGAAAACCAGTGGACCGAAAAAAAAAAAAAAGGGCCGGGTGCAGTGGCTCACGCCTGTAATTCCAGCACTTTGGAAGGCCGAGACGGGCAGATCACGAGGTCAGGAGATGGAGACCATCCCGGCTAACACGGTGAAACCCCGTCTCTACTAAAAATATAAAAAAATTAGCCTGGCGTGGTGGTGGGCGCCTATAGTCCCAGCTACTTGGGAGGCTGAGGCAGGAGAATGGCGTGAATCCGGGAGGCGGAGCTTGCAGTGAGCTGAGATCAAGCCACTGCACTCCAGGCTGGGCGACAGAGCGAGACTCCGTCTCAAAAAAAAAAAAAAGCAGATGGGGTGTTTATATTTCCCTTTGAAAACAATTTTTTTTTTTTTTTTTTTTGAGATGGAGTTTTGCTCTGGTTGCCCAGGCTCAAGTGCAATGGCGCGATCTCGGCTCACCGCAATCTCTACCTCCCGGGTTCAGGCAATTCTCCTGCCTCAGCCTCTTGAGTAGCTGGGAGTACAGACATGTGCCACCATACTTGGCTAATTTTTTATTTTTAGTAGAGAAGGGGTTTCTCCATGTTGGCCAGGTTGGTCACGAGCTCCTGACCTCAGGTGATCCGCCCACGTTGGCCTCCCAAAGTGCTGGGATTACAGGCGTGAGCCACTACGCCCGGCCAATAATTTTTTAAAACACAAACTTCTTTTTACGTATATGATCTTTAACTACTTTTAAGTGAGTTTGTGATCACTCATAACCTTTCATGACTTTTCCACATTATTTTTTAAACTAATAAAGTACAATTTTCAGGTTGGGCGTGGTGGCTCACACCTGTAATCCTGGCACTTTGGGAGGCCAAGGTGGGAGGACTGCTTGAGGCCAGGAGTTTGAGAACAGCCTGGGCAATATAGCAAGACTGTCTCTGTTTTTGTGGGGTTTTTTTGTTTTTTTTTTTAAGTACTTTATGGTTGTTAGAATATTTCCATAAACATTGTCTCATTGGATCTTCATAAGAAGTAGGATGAGTATTATTATTTCATATTACATGTGAGGAAGTATGACTGGCTCAAAGAAATAAAGCGATAAGTTAGCAGGCCGAGTTGGTCATTAGATTTCTACACCAACAGTTTTCCCAGTATTATCACTTTACTGTATTTCATATACATTAAAGGATAACTTCAATAGGAAAGATTATTTCATTAATTCTTTCAAAAAGTATTTATTGAATCCTTCTATGTTCCTGGTGCTATGTTAGGAGTCATATAAAATGAATGAGACTGAAATTGCCCCTGCCCCCAGGAGAATTGCTTGAACCCTGGAGACAGAGGTTTCTGTGAGCTGAGATCTCGCCACCGCACTCCAGCCTGGGCGACAAAAGCAAGATTCCAACTCAAAAAAAAAAAAAGAAAGAAAGAAAAGAAAAGAAAACTTACAGATCTACATGAGGTTCTCCGATCCCTCAGAAAGATTATCTTGAGGTGGGTAAAGGATTCAAAACAGGCAGTTTGATCAACTATTAGCACAAAGTGCAGCAGAAGAAATGGCCTTAAGTCATTGTAGAGATTGGAGAACGTAAGAACATAAATACTAAAATTGGAACATAAATAGATATTTAGAGCAACATTCCATCATTCATTCAATGACAACATTTTGAGTGTCCACTACTTATTAAAGACTATTAAAAGAGAACAATAAACAAAACAACCAAATCTGTTTTCATGGAGCTTATATTCCAGTGCAGGATTCAGACAACAAATATATAACATAATGTTAGAGAAAAGAACTATGATGAAAAAAAAGCATGGTAAGGAGTAGAAAATGCTGGGGCTACTATTTGAAATATGAGAGTCACTAAAGGACTGACTGAAGAAGAATGTTTTGAGCAGAAGCCTGAATGAAACAGTCTAGGTACTGGATCAGTTATTCAGCTTCACAAATTAGGAAAACACATTTTTAGACTTTGCTGACTTCACTAAATTGACCCTTCACTACAGTGATGATTAACTGACCCTTTCCATTTCTTTTATCTTGATTGTTTGACCATGTGTAATTGGTCCCATGATCAGGCAGGTTAGGATTCAGACTACATATGATTTCTCTACTGATCATTAACTATGCCTAGGTTTATTTATTAACCAAAGGTCTGCTCTTTCTCTTGTTCCTATGACCTTGTTTACATTTCTCCTTGAGTCTCAGCTGGATTTTAATATACTTATAATGTTAAATATAGTGTATGTCAAATATGATGGCTCAACCCAGCAGCTAAAGACAGCAAGCAGCAAGCCTTAATTCCCCTTACTCTATCTCTAGAGTGAGGATTGAGAGGCAGGACACTGAAAAATAAATCTTCAACCAGAAAATGACTAAGGATCATCTTGAGGTTTAGAAAAGGGGTACTTTCAAAAGAATAAGAAGTAAGAGTATAGAAAGGGAACAGTGATACAAATCTCAAGAAATATGCCACAATAGGAATTCCATGAGGCTGTAGCATGATCTAAGATAACTGGGGAGTAGAAAGAAAAAAATCAAAGTTTTTACAACTAGGGAATTCTCTCAAATGGTTGTCCTGCCTTCTCTCTACCTTCTTCTACAGTCCTGTTGCTCCTGACCAAGTCAATTGTATGCCAACATATGACACATCAAGAAAAGACAAATATTTCCTAAAATTCAAGAAACCAGTTATTAACACCAAATGAAGAGTTAAGTATTACTAAAAAGGTTATTGAAAAGTAAGAATGGGAAACAAGAAGTAGTCTCATGATCTTAGTGCTATAAGTTACTGGTTGCGAGTTAAACCATCACACCCATTGTTTGCAGGGCCAGGCCTATATACTCAAAGCAATTTTTAGAAGATGCATCTATCTGCTGAGAAAAATGATAAAACTCCCTAGAACAACCTTTAGTCTTAGAAATTAATTAATACAACGAGGAAATACAAGGCAAGATGTTAGCTACATAGTGATTTTTACAGCCTATCACAGATTCTGGGTCAATAAAAAGTTAACTGATTGAAATTTGTATCATCAAGGAAGAAAGCAAAGAAAGCAGTTAATTTCCCTCCATTGTGTACAAATGCAGTTTAAAGAAAACCTTTGATAAAGAAATAAGATGCAATTAGAATTTGCCTGGAGAATCAGATTTTCTTCACTTTTGTTTCTCATACCTGAGAGATGTGACTAAAATACTGCAAAGCTGTCTCCACAGGACTTTTGAAAAACATCTTCTCCTGAGGCTTCAGCTATAAAGAGAGCAATACACACTGTGAGAATATCCACAATTGAATAAAATAAAATACTGACTAATATGACAAAGGATGTACCACCTTTTCTAATGTACCTGGCATTATCTCCACTCTGTATAAAAGGGAGATCACCACTGTTCTAGATGTACATTATATGTCCAATTCTCCTTACCTTGTGCATCTGTAACAGTGATCACAAATAATGCTTCCATCTGTTGTTTATATTCTTTTTTTTTTTTTCTTTGAGACAGAGTTTTGCTGTTGTCACCCAGGCTGGAGTGCAGTGGTGTGATCTAGGCTCATTGCAACCCTCGCCTCTTGGGTTCAAGTGATTCTTTTGCCTCAGCCTCCTGAGTAGCTGGGATTACAGGTGCCCACCAACACACCCAGCTAATTTTTGTATTTTTAGTAGAGATGGGGGTTTCATCATGTTGGCCAGGCTGGTCTCGAACTTCTGATCTCAGGTGATCTATCCACCTCAGCCTCCCAAAGTGCTGGGATTACAGGTGCGAGCCTCTTCAGCTGGCCTATTATTTACACTCTTTTTACAAATGGCTATTTGGAAGTTTGTTTCTTTGCTTTCTTTTTCTTCTTCTTTTCTTTTTTTTTTTTAGACAGAGTCTTACTCCCAAGCTGGAGTGTAGTGGTGCGATCTTGGCTCACTGCAACTTCCGCCTCCCAGGCTCAAGTGATTCTCGTGCTTCAGCCTCCCAAGTAGCTGGGACTACAGGCCCGCACCACCAAGCCTGGCTAATTTTTTATATTTTAGTAGAGACAGAGTTTTACTATGTTGCCCAGGGTGGTCTCAAATTCCTGAGCTCAGGCGATCCACCAGCCTTGACCTCCCAAAATGCTGGGATTACAGGTGTTAGCCACCACGCCCAGTCTTCTTCTCTTTCTTTTTAAAACAATTCATCATCTGTACTTTGTATATACTTCCTACAGGCCAGAAATGGGATGAGACCGTTTGTGGCAGGGGGAGAAAAACTTACATTATCAGAAAGAGCCAGATGCTTGCAGGCAGTTCCACAAACAGCACATTTTTCTGGAAGGAAAAGGGAAAAAAAATGTTTGGCTCTCATGAGCACGAGGTAAGATTTACAGACTTAAAGTACATGGCAACAATCTAGTATGCTAGCAATAGAAGAAAAAAAGGGTTCTTACTGAATTTAGAATATCATTGTGTTATAAAAGGACACCAACTTAAGATCTGTTCTCTAAGTAAGTGTTTCCAAACTAGTATGTTGAGGTATAAGTAGGGCTTTCACACTGTACCTCTACCCATCTCCCTATCTTTTAAATTTTTATTTTATGTTTTTTTTGAGACAGGGTCTCACTCTGTCACCCAGGCTGGAATGCAGTGGCACAATTATGGTTCACTGCAGCCTCAACCTCCCAGGCTCAAGTGATCCTCCTGCTTCAGTCTTCCAGCTAGCTGGGACTACAGGCGCACATCACCACCTCAGCTCATTTTAATTTTGTTATTATCTTTAGAGATGGAGTCTCCATATGTTGCTCAAGCTGGTCTTGAACTCCTGGGCTCAAGTGATCCTCCCACCGTGGCCCCCGCAAAGTGGTAAGTTTATAAGCATGAGCCACCATCCCAGCACCTCCTGCCCCATCTTTTTATAAATTCCCAGTTTTCTTCTGTGGAACAGAAAGGACAATTCTAAACTCCCAGCAGAAGTACTGCAGTACGTTTACAAGAGTAGGGAAAAGTACAAGATACCAAAGATCTTTAAGTTACTCTTTTGTATTCTATTGACCTGACAGCAGGCACACATTGGGTACTGTAAGAAACTCCCCAGTTATGCCTACCTTGTCATCACTTTGCTAATATTTGTTAATCTTGCTTTGAAGCTCTGCTACTCTCATTCCCCAATCAACCCAATCTGAAAGAAGCAAAAATTAAGATTCCTAATCTTTCCCTGTAAAGTGAAATTTTAGTAGTGGGACTGGTCATTGATTAAGACAAATGCCATGTCAGCAGAAAACATCACATGGCATATGCTTTATGGAGACAAACCACTCCAAAGTGAGCTGCTGTTACCATAGTAAACAGCTTTTTACATTAGCGACAACTTTAAAAGGTCATGAGATTTGTACAGAGAAAAAAGCTTCCCCTGAGGCTACTTGACTGTTCTTTTTCTGGGGACTAAAGGTTTTTCTTTTTCCCAGTCCATATCGTTGCCAGAGTGAGCTAGCAAGTACATAACATTCTTCTCTTAAAACAAAACAAAACAAAACAAAAAATGGCTCACACCTGTAATCCCAGCACTTTAGGAGGCTGAGGCAGGTGGATCACTTGAGGCTGGGAGTTCAAGATCAGCCTGGCCAACATGGTGAAACCCCATCTCTACTAAAAATACAATAGTTAGCCCGGCATCGTGGTGCATGCCTATAATTTCAGCTACTCAAGTGGCTGAGACATGAGAATTGCTTGAACCTGGGAAGCAGAGGTTGCAGTGAGCCAAGATTGCACCATTGCACTACAGCCTCGGTGACGAAGTGAGACTGTGTCAAAAACAAAACAAAACAAAAACTTCCACAGGTCTCCATCACCTGCAGGATGAAGTTCAGGCTCTTTAGCCCAGTGCATAGAGCCTTCCATCATCCGACACTCCCTACTTCACTAGCCTCATCTGTCACCATGTCTTACCTTACTGTTTATACTCTAACAATCCCAATTATGTGGAGTCCCCTGCACTATGGTTTTATGATGTAATACGTCTTTGTACATGCTGTTCTCTTAAACTAGAATAAATCTTCCCTGCCTTATCCACTTGGTAAATTCCATTTTATCATTCAAAACTCTATTGAAGCATCACTCCTTCTGTGATGTCTTCTATGATCAAAACACCCTACCCCAAGTCCCTCTTCTAGGGATTTACACACCTTGTAAGTATTGCAGCATTAAAAAAAGAAAGAAAGAAAAGAAAGAAAGAAAGAAAGAAAGAAAGAAAGAAAGAAAGAAAGAAAGAAAGAAAGAAAGAAAGAAAGAAAACTTAAATTTACGTATCCTTTCTAAGACTTAATAGCAATAAGAACTTGGTCAAATCACTTAACCTCTCTGAGCCAGTCTCTTCATTTGTAAAACGGTTCTACTAATAATTACCACTGGGGCGGGTGGCACGGCTTACATAAAATTGGTTGATATGAAACTGCTTTTTAAGCTGCAAAGGTATCATCATCATCATTTCTAATCAAATTGATGTCACATACTAGACCACTTCCCCTTTAGAAATGGCTCTTCTATCAGCCAAACTTTCCTCTATTCCCATCCATTATACTTATTCTATCTCTTTTCCCTGAAGAGTCCGATGCCTTGTGGCTTTCCCTGCCAGACTTCAAAACACTAATGAGTACACTCTGGTCCTCAAGTAATAGATTTGCTAAATCATTTGCTAAATAATTTAGCACCATTCTTTATTAATGGATTCCTTCAATTTCTAAAATTGACAGTTTCCTACAGTATCTGTATCACCATTGACCTAATAAGTGATTTTTATCCTAAGACACACATAGAAATGGCTACTCCTTACATCCTTACATGAAAACATTTTTCCCTGAATCTGAAAACAGTTGAATCACTCACCCAGAGTCACACACGTTTTACAGAAAATATGACCGCAGCTGGTGACAAAGAAATGGGCTCCATCTTTTCGGAAGCACTGGTTGCAATGAAACCAATCCATTCTGGAGCAGATAAAGAGAAACAGTAAGAATAGCCTAGGGCATAACATAATTGTAGCTGTTCCAAAATCTATGTAACCATGCTTGCTTAGCTTCTGATAGCTTTTTGGAATGCGGCATATCATTGTGGGTATTCCAATTGGTTGTGAAGTACATGTACATATAAAGTGGAAAAAAAGCAGACTGCTTTTTATAACAGCAGACTGTTATAACATTTTATATGTAAATGTGGATATATATACATATACATATATATACATATAAACACACATTTAGAAAAGTAATGGACAGTGGTGAGATTTTTTTTTTTTTGAGTGGCAAGGTTATGAGTGTGTGTGTGTGTGTGTGTTTTCCTTTACTTTTTTCCCCCAGGTTTTCTGGATTAATACATGTGCCAATTTGTAATTAGAAAATACAATCCTGGCCAAGCACAGTGGCTCACGCCTGTAATCCCAGCACTTTGGGAGGTCAAGGCAGGTGGATCACCTGAAGTCAAGAGTTTAAGACCAGCCTGGCCAACATGGTGAAACCCCATCTCTACATTTTAAAAATATAAAAATTAGCTGGGCGTGGTGGCAGGTGCCTGTAATCCCAGCTAATCAGGAGGCTGAGGCAGGAGAATCACTTGAACATGGGAGGCAGAGGTTGCAGTGAGCTGAGATCGCGCCATTGCACTCCAGCCTGCAACAGAGCCAGACTCCGTTAAAAAAAAAAAAAAGAAAAGAAAAGAAAAAAGAAAATACAATCTTAAAAATATAAAAACAAAAAACGAATTATCCATTTCTTTTTTAATTATTTCCTGTGATATGGTGAGAGTAGAGCCAAGAGAAGGTAGTGAACCAGAAAGAGAAGATCACATATTAGCCACTTAGGACACATTTTATCTAAGGAAAATAGGGCTGATAAATGATAGTATGGTCTCAGCTTATATACTTTCCTTCTACTCTATAGAAACTCAGAATCAGGCCAGGTGTGGTGGCTCATACCTGTAATCCCAACACTTTGGGAGGCCGAGGCACGTGGATCACCTGAGGTCAGATGTTTCAAGACCAGCCTGGCCAACATGGCAAAACCCCGTCTCTACTAAAAATAAAAAAATTAGCTGAGCGTGGTGGTGCACGCCTGTACTCCCAGCTACTTGGGAGGCTGAGGCAGGATAATTGCTTGAACCCAGGAGGTTGCAGTGAGCCAAGATCGTGCCACTGCACTCCAGCCTGGGCGACAGAGTGAGTCCGTCTCAAAAAAAAGAAACTCAGAATCATAGATCTGAAATGGGCTTTGAAAAATCACTTAACGTTTTGTTCATTCCCACCATTTTTCAAAAGAGATACCTGATATTCAGCGAAATTAAATGACTTGCCAAAAGTACCATCTTTAATTATTGGTTTCCTGATTCCCTACGTAAAGTTCTTGCTCCCACATTAAATAGCTTTTGTGTTAGACATGGTAACCATATATCCTGTATTTTCTGCCAATACCAATTTCATATACTTTGTTAAATACCTGAGTAAATATGACTTTGTAAGGTTTGTTTTGTGTGTGTGGGATAATTATTATTATTTTGAGACAGGGTCTGACTCTGTCTCCAGGCTGGAGTGCAGAGGCAGCTCAGGGCTCGCTGCAGCCTGGAACTCCTGGGCTCAAGCAATCTTTCCTCCTCAGCCTCTGGAGTAGCTGGGACTACAGGAGCACCACCACGCCTGGCTATTTTTTATTTTCATTTTTATTTTTCGTAGAGACAAGGCCTCTCTGTGTTAACCAGGCTGGTCTGGAACTCCCGGACTCAAGCGATCCTCCCACCTCGGCCTCCCCAAAGTGCTGGGATTACAGGCGGGAGCCACTACACCCGGCCTTTTCGTAGGATGTGTGTGTGTGTAACCGCGGAGGGATACAAACTTCGTAAGATTTACGATAAAAAAAAAAAGTACTGAATAAACAGCTTAACGCAAACGCATCTCACAGTGCCACGAGCTTCGTTGTCCTATTTGTTTGCTCCTGATACACTAACTTTCATCAGCAAGTGAGTCTTAAAAAACCACTGAAAAGGCCCCGTTCTATATACCCAGGTTTGTTTAAGGGCGGCAACAATGTCATAACCTGAACTGACAAGATGAATCCAACATAAAAAAGGCAGTGAACAGAGTGATTAAGGCGATCCCGAGGGCAAAACTCGCCTGCTTTCCAGAGGCGATGTGGCCTCAGCCGTCTCAAACTTACCAGTTCTTTTTCTGGCTACACTCCCTACTCGCTTGGCCGCTGTGATTCCAGAAGGCCTCAGATCTCCGGAAATCATCCACTTCTCCTCACGAAGAGCTGGAAATGGCGGGAAAATAAACAGCTGGCTTGGCACCGGGTGAGGCAAGAGGCTAAGCGCAGCCGGGGTGGTGTGTGAGATGTGGGCGGGGCCTGGCGCTATGCTAAAAGAGTGGACGTGGCTCCGTGGCGTTCGCGGCTCCGTGGCGTTCGCGGGACGTGGGCGGGGCCGGCAGAGGCGTTCACAGGGCGAGGAGCGGCTCGCGGTGGCGGGAGAGGGGTGTAGGAACTTTTCCTAGCAGCCGAGGAAAATTCACCTCGCTTAAAAGATTGGGGACAAACAAACACTGTAACCTAATCCCATACATGTTACTGTGGAAACAAAAAGGTGAAAATAAAGCCTAATTAATGTTCCAATAAACGATGAGAACGCAATATAAAATGTGGTCATAAAGTGGGCGAAAACTTTTGCCTAATATTCTAAAATGAAATGAAAATAATGGGTGCTTTGAAAGAATAGCGTAAAATCAGAAATAGGAAAATTTTAAAATGATGTGGACAAAGAACAATGTGATATTAATTGAGAACTAACAAATTTCAGTTAAAAAAATGTCAAACTTGGCCGGGCGCGGTGGCTCACGCCTGTAACCCCAGCACTTTGGGAGGCCGAGGCGGGCGGATCACGAGGTCAGGAGATCGAGACCATCTTGGCTAACACGGTGAAACCCCGTCTCTACTAAGAATACAAAAAAAATTAGCCGGGGGAGGTGGCGGGCGCCTGTAGTCCCGGCTACACGGGAGGCTGAGGCAGGAGAATGGCGTGAACCCGGGGGGCGGAGTTTGCAGTGGGCCGAGATCGCGCCACTGCACTCCAGCCTGGGAGACAGAGAGAGGCTCCGTTTAAAAAAAAAAAAAAAAAAAAATTAGCCAGGTGTGGTGTCAGGTGCCTGTAGTCCCAGCTACTTAGGGAGGCTGAGGCAGGTGTATCACTTAATCCCAGGGGGTCGAGGCCGCAGTGAGCTGTGTTCACGCCACTGCACTCCAGACTGGTTGAGAGAGCAAGACACTGCCTCAAACTAACAAACAAACAAAAAAAAAACACAAAAAACAAAAGAAAAGAGAGAGAGAGAGAGAGAATAAGATTGGCATCAGATGTCTCCACAGAAGCATTCTAGATAGCAATGAAACAACGTTTTCCAGATTTTTACGGAAATTATGATCCAATAAATTTATATTCCCTTATATTGTGTTCAGGTGTAAAGGCCACTGGCAAAAAGCATGCAAATGAGCTTTTCCTGAGGAATCCACTTAGAGTAGTAGTTCTCAAACTTTTTGGTTGCAGGCTTCCTTTACAAAATTATTGAAGACCCTCCAAAGAGCTTTTGTTAATGTAAATTGCATCTACCAATATTTACCAGATTAGCAATTAAAAGAGAATTTTTAAAATATTTATTAATTCATTTGAAAACAATAATAAACCCATTAAATGTATGTTTGTTCGTTTGTTGTTGTTTTTTGAGACGGAGTCTCACTCTGTCGCCAGGGCTGGAGTGCAGTAGCGCCCATCTCGGCTCACTGCAACCTCCGCCTGCTGTGTTCAAGCGATTCTCCCGTCTCAGCCTCCGGATTAACTGGGATTACAGGCACCTGCCATTAGGCCCAGCTACTTTTCTGTATTTTTGATAGAGACAGGGTTTCACCGTGTTGGCCAGGCTGCTCTGGAATTCCTGACATCGTGATCCACCCACCTCGGCCTCCCAAAGTGCTGGGATTGCAGGTGTGAGCCACCACGCCCGGCCACGATGTTCATATAAATAATCTATGGAAAATGTATTTTCCAAAACAAGAAAAATTTAGTGAAGAGTGGCATTGTTTTTACATTTTTGTAATCTCTTACTATGTAGCTAAATAGAAAGCTGGTGGAGTCCTATATTTGCTTCTGCTTTAATTTTTGCAGTACGCTGTTTTGGTTGGAGTGTGTGAAGAACATTTGGATTCACTCAAATATGTAGGGAAAGAGAATGGTATTTAAATGGCCTTTTCAGATAATTGTGAACATTTCTCTTTGATATCACATCAAAATTCAGGAAGTCTGAGTTAAAAGTTGATTGCAAAGTGGGATCCGAAACCATATCAATGAACTTTTTATAGCCTGTTACATTGAGTTGGTCTGTTTTGCACTTTAAATGGGTCTTTTGCCCATGCACGATTTTGTAACATCATACATTTAGACCAAACTAGTCATCTGAAAAATTTTGGTTCACTGAGTTATACACATTGGTGCATTTTGTTATAGAAGATTAAATATTGACACCATTCATTATACAATATAAAAAATCACTTTTGTTAATATCACTACCTATCTCATCAGGTGAGTATTTGAGTCTTGGGAAGCTGTCAAGCTCACAATTGCAGGTACAAGTTTTCCAAAATTCTAATTTTTATCTGAAACCTTGAATGTTATCATTGGTAACAAATACTGTCACTGGTTTTCCTTGAAGTGACAAGGCCATTTTGTTTTTTTTGAGAAAATGCCTACCAAATACCCAAGTGTGAATAGTTTGTATGTTAGATGTTCTTTCAAGTAAAAACAGTATTCCATGAACAAAGTGATTAGCTCAGGTTACAAATCAAACTATTCCATAAATACTTTTCTTAAATATAATTGTTTTTAAGAGATGGGTGTCTCCCTCTGCTGCCTAGGCTAGAGTTTAGTGGCACAATCATAACCTGCTACAGCCTAGAATTCCTGAACTCAAGGGATCCTTCTGCCTCAGCCTCCTCTACCTTGCCCGGCTATTTTTTTTTTTTCCCCAGACGGAGTATTGCTCTGTCACCCAGGCTGGAGGGCAATGGCGCCATCTTGGCTCACTGCAATCTCCACCCCCTGGGTTCAAGCAGTTCTCCTGCGTCAGCCTCCCAAGTAGCTGGAATTACAGGCATTCGCCGCTACACCTGGCTAATCTTTGTATGCTTAGTAGAGATGGGGTTTCACCATGTTGACCAGGCTGGTCTTGAACTCTTGATCTCGTGATCCACCTGCCTCGGCCTCCCAAAGTGCTGGGATTACAGGCATGAGCCACCACACCCAGCCCTAATTTTTTATATTTTTTTAAGAGACAAGTTCTCACTATGTTGCCCAGGCTGGTCTCAAATTCCTGACCGGTCTCAAATTCCTGACCTCAAATGATCTTCCTGCCTCAGCCTTCCCAGTAGCTGGGATTACAGGTATGTGGCATCATGCTTGAGTAATCTTAATTCTACTTAAATAAAAGTTTTCATTTGAAAATATTTTAATGCCATGTGGAGTGGGGTGTTAGCCCCATCCAATATTAAAATATATTATAAAACATCTGTAATTTAAAGTGTGGTATTGGTGCATAAACATGTAGACCAATGAAACAGAATCAAGTCTAGAAATAGAACCAAGTACGTTAATAAATTTTAATTGGTGAGTGTGCATGGGGAATTGAATTTTTATATACATAGAATTGTGACAACTGAATAGCCATTTGAAAAAATATAAAATTGAGTCTGTTTCTCATACTGTTTACCAGGATAAATTTCAAATGGATCAGAAATCGAAACAGACAAGTACCAGACGAAAATATGAGTAAATACTCTTATAACCTAGATGTGCAGGAAATCTTCCTAGGATCCAAAAATCTAGAAGAAAGAAAAGAAAGGATTGACAAATTTGACTAAGTAATTAAAAAAAACTTTTTGCATGTACACACACACACACATACAGGAAAAGTAAAGCACAAAGTGACAAATTACAAAAAAATCAACTTAAATTATAAAGGGCTAATAGCTTTTTTTTTTTTTTTTTTTCCCGGAGACGGAGTCTTGCTCTGTCACCCAGGCTGGAGTGCAGTGGCATGATCTTGGCTCACTACAAGCTCTGCCCTCTGGGTTCATGCCATTCTCCTGCCTCAGCCTCCCAAGCAGCTGGGACTACAGGCACCCGCCACCATGCCCAGCTAATTTTTTGTATTTTTAGTAGAGACAGGGTTTCACCATGTTAGCCAGGATGGTCTCGATCTCCTGACCTCATGATCTCCCCACCTCGGCCTCCCAAAGTGCTGGGATTACAGGCGTGAGCCACTGCGCCTGGCCGGGCTAGTAGCTTTAATATACAAAGAGCTTTTTAAAAAAGAAAACCAACAACTTAATAGAAATTTGAACAGTTGAAGAAAAAAAAAGAGACCAACAGTTTTCCTAGAAAATATCTTGGTTTTGAGTGTTCTGGGCTTTTTGGGTGTGCTTTCTTAAACATGGTATACATGGCTGGAGTGCAAGTACAGTGGTACTATCTCGGCTCACTGCAGCCTCTGCCTCCCAGGTTCAAGCAATTCTCCTGCCTTCGCCTCCTGAGTAGCTGGGACTATTGGCATGCACCACCAGGCCTGGCTAATTTTTGTATTTTGGTAGAGACAGGGTTTCACTGTGTTGACCAGGCTGGTCTCGAACTCCTGACCTCAGGTGATCTGCCCACCTTGGCTTCCCAAAGTGCTAGGATTACAGGCATGAGCCACCATGCCCAGCCTACTCATTTTTAATTGGGTTGTTTATTTTATTACTGTTGAGTTTTGAGAATTCTTTTTTTTTTTTTTTTTTTTTTGAGATAGGGTCTCACTCTGTTGCCCAGGCTGAAGTGTAGTGTCATGATTATGGCTCACTGCAGCCTCAACCTCCCAGGCTCAAATGATTCCCCCAACCTCAGCCTCCCAAGTAGCTGGGACTACAAGCACACACCACCACATCCGGCTAATTTTTCTTTTTCTTTTTTTTTTTTTTTTTTTTTTGATAGAGATGGGGTTTCACCATGTTGTCCAGGCTGGTCTCAAACTCCTGGGCTCAACTGATCCTCCCATCTCAGCCTCCTAAAGTGCTGGGATTACAGGCATGAGCCACCAAACCCAGACAAAATTTTCTTTTCTTTAAATATTATTATCTTCTACTCTGAAAGGAAAATGGGGTACCTCTGGAAATTTTCTTCAAAAATTCTAGAAATGTAGATTTGTGATTTTGATTTTACATTTAGGTATATGATTCATTTGAGTTAATTTTCTATGTGGTGTGAGGTATGGATTAAAATTTGCATGTGTGTATGTGCGTGTGTTTTT